ATCAAAGCTATATTTTTCTATTTCTTCACTAGGGAATTAGGAAGAGATCGATGTTGACGATGCCTTAGCAAGCTCTACTATTGTATTGCTGCTAGGTAAGAGTGCTGGTGAGCAAAAGGCAAACGATGCCTACTGATGTGATAGGGAGATACTTTTGATGCCCCTCGCTTTGACTATTTTGCCTCTATCTAGGTGGTTATCCAGTGGGAATTAGACGGTTCAGAAGTACAAGCGTTATTTTGCTAAAGCTTCTCTAGGCTTGGTCTATTCCGCTAGGGGGTTTCAGAGCTCGAGTATTATTTGATCCGAAGCCTCTATAGGCTTGATATGCACTACTGGGGAATAGGCTGCTCTTCAAACAAATTTGCTTGTACACGGGTCTTGGTTACCCGCTTTTCTGTTTGACTTGATTGGGAATCTCTATTTGTGGCAATCCTTGCCCCTTGTTTGCATAATTCTTTCGTTAAATCCTTTGTTGAGCGAGGATTTTTGAGCTTTTGCTTTTCATGTGAAGGATGTTCAGTTCTTGCATTTCTTATATTATTATTATTATTATTATTATTATTATTATTATTATTATATTTTATGATCTGACTATTGAAGCTAAAGATCAATGTATTGAAAAGGTATCATCAAAATTTCAGCATGATCTAACGGTTAACGAATTCCATAGAGGCCTCACATAACAGTTGGAAAGAGTAACATGTACGCCTCTAAGGGTCCAATAGAGCACCTAAACAGGCCAAAATAGCTCCAGAAGGCCCAAAGAACTCAAAAACACTAATCTAGGGTGCTGAACAGCCATTCCCAAATTGGAACTGGCCGTTCACAGTATTGGAACAATACATTCAGAAATAGAAACAGCCCATTCCCCTTTCCAGAAAATTTTACGTTGGGCAACATTTTGTTATGATAATATCTCTTGATAAAGACCTAATTTTTCTGATCTGACTGTTGAAGTTAAAGATCAATGTATTAAGAAGATATCATCAAATTTTCATCATGATCCAACGATTAATGAATTCTCCAGAGGCCTCGAATTGTAGCTAGAAAATAGGAGTCTTATACCAGACAATGTTTTTGCTATGATAGTATCTCTCACTACAAACGTAATTTCAATGATCCAACCATTGAAATTGAAGATTAATATATTTTTAGAATACCATAAGAAAACCAACACGATCCAACGGTTAATGAGTTCTCTAGTGGTCCTGCATGATGCCTACAAAAAGATTGTATTTTTATAAAATTTAGTCCTACATCGGACAACTCTCTTATGCTTCTACCAACTAGTTGGATATATAAGAAACCCTCTGGCCAAAGGATTGTGGAAGCTGAAGCTGCATAGCTTCCCCCCTCTCTATATAAATGTTTGAATGATAGTGAGACTTTTGTAAAGCGAAGGACTATCAAAACGCATCCCACATGCATTTGGGAAGATTCCCTTATAAAAGGCTTGCTTTGGAGGTTCTAAATTCTTCTCTTTTATTTATTGTTTTTATGCATTTTATTTATTATTTTTGTTTATTGTTTTATTTATTATTTTATTTATTTTTATTTATAATTCTTATATGCAAATAGATAATCATGTAGATAATAGACATTTTTTGTCATGAAAATAATATTAAATAATAAAAAGGGATAAGATATTTAATTTATTATTTATTATTATGCTAATATCATCATAGGATATCGATTTAGGACATTGTAGGGTGCCTAACACCTTCCCTATACATAACCGACTCCCGAACCTAATTCTGGCTATTAAGGCCTTTATTGTAATTTCAAAATCTTTTTTTTTATGTTTTGAGTAAAATATCGGTGGGGACTCCTTTGAACCTTTTCAAAAACTATTGATTAGGGATTATTTTAATTTCTGAGCATTCCCTAACTGATGAAATTTTCAAAATAGAGGTCCAACCCATCTGTGGGCAAGATCAAAATTTTACGGGTTTCGACTGGTGGCTTTCATTTCCTCCTTCTTAAAAAGTAAACCACCTTGGTTAATTAATGTGCAACATCAGTTATCTTAGCCAATTAATGCCTTAATCTATTTTAATGGCTCTCTTTTGCTTTTTATTTTAGAATCCCTAACTTTTTCCGGGGCTTCCCTTTATGGGTTTTCAACCTAGTAGGTCATTTTTCTTTTCTTTTGCTTTTTTAGACTTTTAAAAGTTTTTGACAATCATAAACAAGACACATCATTATAGAAGAGAATAAAAAAGAATGGGTGGCTATGGTAGGCTACTGCTTAATTTTTAAACAAACATTTCCTTAGACAATAAGCATAATCATTCTCCTAATTATCCTAGATTACATGTTTGAGTCTCGAGCAGAATCTTCATAGAGCCTTGACCTCTTGAAAAAATATCCAAGTCGTCTTTTAGTTTTCAACTTGAATAATCCTCAATTGCTCTTTTTATCTCTTATTCTTTTAATCCCTAACTTTTGCCTAAGACATATCTTAGCGAGGATTTTTGCCTTTTTTCTACCTAAGAACCTTGTCTTGGGGGCTTTTACTTTTGCCTAGGACACCCTTTGTAGATTTTCATCCTAACAGGCTTTCCCTTTATCTGAGTCTACCTTCATTCCTTTCTTGCTAATGATAAAACCAAGGAGTTTTCCAGATCGAGTTTTGAAAGTACATTTGGCAGGGTTTAGCTTTAGCTGGTACTTTCAAAGATGTTTAAGTAGTTTTCTCAAATGCATAAGATGGTTATGCTCACTTTTTGACTTCGAGATTATGTTATCCATATAGACTTCGATCTCCTTATGGATCATATCATGGAATAGAGTTACCATGGCTCTCTAATAGGTAGCTCTGACATTCTTCAGAATGGCATAACCCTATACCAAAACATGCCCTAAGGTGTGATGAAGGATGTCTTCTCGCAATCTTCACCAACCATCTTAATCTGGTTATACAATGAATACCCATCCATGAATGAAAAGATGGTATTCGTTGCAATATTTTCAATCAACAGGTCGATGTGTGGTAAAGGGAAATCATCTTTGGGACTAGCTTTGTTCAAGTCTCGGTAGTCTACACAAACTCGAACATTCCCATTCTCTTTCAATACTGGAACTATGTTTGCAAGCCATTCAGGGTAATAGGAGATAATTAGAAATCCTACGTCCAAGTGTTCCTGAACCTCCTCCTTTATCTTGAGGGACCATTCGGGCTTAACTCTTCTTAGCTTCTATTTCACGAGCCATAATTGATGGAAATACTTGAGGAGGTGATTGATGTTCCTCTCCAAGCTCCACCTTGAAATTCCCTTTCTTCTCTTGAGGTATTCAACACGCCATTGATGAAGGATAAACAACCTCCAAAGCTTGTAGAAGCAACTTGAGGAGGTTCAGTTTCTTCCTTGAAGAGGAAGAAACTTGAGGAACCAAACAACAAAGGAGGAAATCCTCTGTCGAGAAGCTTAGGGGAGAAGCTTCTTCTCCACGGATTTATGTCACTTGAGAGAGGGAATTTAGTGAAAATTCTGAATTCATATACTCAAAAGTGTATACAAATGAGAGATTTAGGAATTTATAGAAGTAGGTGGCTTGTGGAGGAAGCAGAACTTAACCATGGCTCAAGTGAACCATGGTAGGCTTAGCTTGACTGTCCACCTTAGTTTAGGAGGCTTGTGGAGCAAGATTCTATCTTAGCTTTCTTGGGAAGCAAGCTAAGTTAGAAGCTTGTAGGACAAGCTTCCCAAAGACACCAAAGGTAGAAGCAAGTCTGGCCAAGGAAATAGGCTCGGCGGCCTTGGGCTTGTTTGCTAACTTAGTCCATTTCAAAAATTGTTGATTTGGTTTGGTTAGGTTCATCCAAAAATGGTGAGACCTAGCTAAATCAAATCCTTGAAAAATATGGAGCAAAACAAGTTCAATATGTAAAATTGTGCCTAGGCCTAATTCTGGCCTAATTGCTAAACACACCCTCAAGCCTTTGTAATTGCCACGCCACTTATACTACTGAAAAATAGAAAAAGAGTGACCTTTAATACAAGGTCAATTGGAGTAAAAGTCTCCATAGAACCTACCCTAAAAATAATATACAATGGTTTATAACAAGAAAATAAAGTGCCTCACAAATACAAAGGCAAAATAAACCTATACAAGTAATTACTATATTTACAAACATTTGAAAGGTCTTCAAACTCATCCCATTCCTCTTGGTTCCTTTAATGTATCACCTCTTGGATTCCTTAGCCTTGACATGTTTCCATCACCCCCTCCCTCTTGAAAAGGATTTGACCTCAAATCTCAAGAGTCTTCATGATGGTCATCCACGCCTACAAATATATAATACTATTCATTAGAGGTGACATTGTCAATCAATAAATGTGAAAGGTATATCCTAAGAGGAATCCTTTCATAGAACCTAATAAAGAAATTAAAGGGCCGTTCCCAATTTGGAACGGGCTATTCCAAGTTCCTAAAAGGGCATAAAACCCTAGTTTGGAACGGGTCGTTCCTAAACTGGAGCGGGCTGTTCTAAGTTATGAAAAAGGCCTAAAAACCCTTGTTTGGAACGGCCGTTCCAGCCTAGCCAATTATGTGTTAATCTCATCTCTGGAACAGACCGTTCTAGTTTTAGAATGGGTCGTTCTAGTTACAAAATTAACACAGAATGGTCGGATCCAGAACAGGCCGTTCCGATTTTGGAACGGGCCGTTCTAGAAACTTTTTGATGTTTTTTTTTTTTTTTTTATCATTTTTATTATTATTATGATGCATAATGTCATTTTTAAAAATTCTTTAGTTACTTTTATAATCTTATTTTATTTTTAGTTAAAATTTAATTTGTAATTTGTTAAATTTTCAAAAGGAGATATCCTTTTTTATAAACACTTAAATAATGATACGTGAATACACTTTAAAATTATTTAATTACTTATTAACATAGGAACAACTTATTTAATTTTAAACAATTATAACATAAATTCTTATTACATAAAAAAATTATTATATAATATATTAAATAAAATATTTATCCAAACGACCTATAATCTCATTATATCATGTCATCATAAAACAAATCTAAGATGGACTGAAAACATTATGTCAATATATTCTAGATTGAAAAAAAAAATATTATGACGATCAAAACTAAAAGTGACTAACTATTTAGAGATGAAAAGCATCTTGATGGAAGAAAAAAAGAATAATGATAAAAAACCTGATACGCTCCAATCATGTGGATTACGATGAACCCATTCCCCAATGCAACCAACCAGAAAGGTTCGGTAAATCCGGTTAAGATGTTTCCAGGTGTGTTGTCACCAAACCCAGCATAGCCAAGGCCACTGCACAGCAAGAACAATACTGCCATTGCTGTGACTCCCATCACATTAGCTCTTTTCATTTGTTTATTTTCTGGTGGATGTGCCTTCAATGTGTCCTAAACAATAATTGGATTCATTGTAACAACTCATAATTCCAATTTGCTAGCACCCATCACTTATTTGCTTTTATTAATTTCTTCAAACAGTGTGCATATGTAATAAGTGAATTGTGTGTTTTACCATTATATCATAAACAACGGTAGCGTACGTGCATGCAAGTGCTATGTTTCCCATTGAAGTGAAAACCCTCAAAAGTTTGTCTTCAATAGGTAGTTTAGTTCCTATTATGCTGGTTGCTGCTCCTTTTCCTGTACATATAACTTCTTTTAGAACAAGTATTTAAAAGTTGCCAAAATGAGCATGTAAATGTAAGTATTTAAAAACCAAACCAATCTAAAAATTAAAGAAACTAAATCATGGTTCAATGATCCGGTATTTTTTTGTCTATAGCATAGATATCATCTATTAGAGATTATTCTGATGCAACTGGATAAGATTATTGTAGACAAGAAAGCTCTTTATCCGAGTATTTAACATGACTGCAAATTAAAGACTCGAATTCGAAACTATTTAGTAAACTGGAACAGTTATTGGTCAATTGATCCACAAACTTGGTAGTTCAATGACCCAATATATGACCTTTGTATAATTATTATTATTATTTTTTTTTTGAAAAATCTTTATCCTATTAATTTCTTTTATATTAAATGCATACAACTTATTATGTTTGGGTTGCTTAAACATGTTATCTATGATGAGATCAAAGAATAAAATGTGTTGTGCTCCCGTTTGGAAAATTTAAAGGGTGGGTGGTTGAAGGAGTGTATTGCTACACTTTCATGAATTTTAATCCTGATAGTTCATGGGGTGGGGGGCATAGGCTAAGTGGGCCATTGACCAAAAATAGTAACTGGGCCTTTCCACAAAATCTGGCGGCCTATCTTTATTGGGTCACAATATGTAACTAGGCATATGAGAAACCACAATAAATAATCCATAACCTTATCATAAGTTTGATTATCAATAATCTTTTGCAAAAAAAGAAAAAAAGAAAAAAGTAAAATTAATTAACCTTATGTATATTTGACATTTTCATTTTGTTATACATTTTTCAGCTTTTATATGAAATAGATTAACATTTTTTATTAATCGCTAAAAATACAAGGATTTGTTTAGAAGGTCTACAGAATTGTATACCATCACTTTAAAATTTGGCTACAACCTGATCAAATTATGTGTAACAGATGTAAGTTGAAGGAGGGGTCAACTCATGCTAGAGTGTTCAGATCATGCAACTCTTTGGTGGGGGAATTCAGGCACCTTCTCATTTTGATTTGATTACTCATATGTCACAATTCAGAGGTTTGGTTAAAGTATCCAAAAAAAAAAATAGCATATATATGGAACGTGATTTGGTTTGCAAGAATATAGGTGATTTGGAAGAGCAGAAATGCAGTGGTGTTCTCCCATAAAACTCACTCAGTTGAGGAAATGGAAGAAATGGTAGAGATATTATCATGACAATGGTTAACTATTTCTGGTGGACTCAACTATGCATTTTCCTATTGGTCTCTTAATCCACTGTGTTTCTGTATGTGGTAACGTGAGTCTATCTTCTACACGTTCTTGTGTTTTCACTTTTTTATGTGTGGAATTATATGGTTGTTGACTTAAAATATAGCAGATACAGGTGTGACACTTTTGGGGATTTAAAAGATATAGGGTTTCGCTTGATATGAGGTTTTTGTTGGCCAAAATTTGTTTGCTGGAATGCTACTAGATAATTGATTTTATTTTGGGTATGTTTTGTCTAGTGCTAGCATATAACATTCTTTTGATGCGAGGTTCTTTTTGGTCAAAATTTGGTTGTTGGAAAGCTACTAGATAGATGATTTATATTCTTGTATGTTTTGCCTGTACTGACATATTGCATTCTCTTGTAATTTTGTTTGACAAATCACATTTTATGGTCATGTCAAGTGTTTAATAAGAATTGCATTTTGTTTTTTTTAAAAAAAAATCAGTTATTTAATTAAAAAAAAAAGTTGCTTTCTTAACTTCTCAAATCAATATTTAATTTTATGTACTTTATAAAAAAGAAAAAACATAATGAGATATGTAAATTATAATTAATGCAACATTTATTATTTTTAAATTCTAAAACTAAAAGTTTCAGACGAATACAATTTTTTATCTTTTAATTCAAAATTTATATTAGAGTAACAAATTTTACTTGCAAGTCAGTATGTGATATAATGTGACATCTTACAATTCATTTGTTATCTTTCCAAAAATTGATAGTATGTTATTGCATTTTTAAAATTTAAATTTTATATTATTGCATTCTTTTTTCTTTTTCTTTGAATAATTTCTTCAAAAATATTAACATATAAATTTATTACAATAATAATTTTTATTTCATATGTACTATTTTAGTACATTTATAATTAAGAGATAAAAATACACACTCCTCACATGACAGACCTGTGTAACCACCACCTGTTTTCTTATTTGTTACAGACTCTTTTTCAACTACCACAATATAGCTAAAGTCGCCTAGTCCGTGAATAGTTAGTTGACTGAGCAAGCCCATTGAAGAGAACTGAACCTTAATCTATACTCCTAAGTACCTCTATTTCAAATTATCAGTTATATTAGGAGTTTTGGTTTATTTTAAACTTTTTTCTTATTTTAAAAGTATTAACTTATTTGCTAAACATCTAATTTAAGTGCTTAATAATTCGTAATTAAATTTTAATTCTTTCAGTAATAATATTCTAGTAAAAAAATGATATTGTTACCATTCTTAAAATATATACATTATCTAGGACGATAAATAAGTACTAATTCCTTGTTATAATAAGTGTTGTGTTAAAAAAAATAATAAGTATCATTATAATATAATATTTATTACTTATTTTTATTTATATTCTTCATAATAAAATTTAGAAACATCATTTATAATAAAGAAGATTAATCATAAGATTAATTTATAAAATCATCACCTTTCTCCTATTTATTAATTTTTACTTTTTGTCAGTGTCAAATAACTTAAGACGACACTTATTATAAAACAGAAGAAATAAAAAATAAAATAAAATAAAAGGTTAAAAACAACAAATGAACAAAATGAATAAACTAAATAATCAAATACTTATAAGAGTAAAATTTGGTAATTAATAGTAAGTTCCTTTAATATACAAACTAGTATTTTGACTAGTGTAATGTACAAGATAATTTTTTATTTTATATAAACAAAATTTATAATAAATAAATACTTTTGAATATTTATATTATATTATCAGTAAAATTTATAATAAATAAATATTGTTACTATATAAATTATATTTTAGATTTATGGTAAATAATTTACATTGTAATACAAAAATATTCTTAACTATTGATAATTTTTCTTAATTAAAAAATATTAAAATTTAATTGAAAAACAAATTTGATAAACTAAAGAGATAAAATATTTAAAAAAATCACTAAAAATATCCTTGTTGAAAAATCAGTCCTGAAAATAATTATTCTAATTTATACATTTATTATAAATATAAGATTAATATGGTGAAAACTGAAGTTACCTGAGAGGATAACCGCGAGACATAACCCACTACCAATGAATACATAACCAAAAGAGGTTATAGCTGCAAGAGTTGAGAGCCATGTGAGCTCGTGGAAGTTTGGGATTTGAGACAAGAAAATTTGCAAGATTCCAAAACCAATCGCAAAGGCATTATTCGAAAACTTGCACGAAGCTGAATCTCCTCCATTGTGGATGCAAATTGCTTTCCTTATTGCTCTGCCATATCATACTCATCATCATAAACCATAAAACAAAAGCATAAAAAGCTTATATTTTATAGTCTAAAAGTTTATAATTGTACTCTTAACATTAAAAATGATGCTCCTTGGTCCTTTCATAAGAATCTACAGATTTTTTTTTTAATATTCTAAATAACAAATGGTAAAGTTTTAAAATATAAAGGTTTACAAATAACATCAGGCTAAAATGTTGGGCATGGTAAAAATTAGACTTGATCATATCCCATTTGCACATTGTGATAAGGTTTAGTAGTAATTATTTTACGTACATCAAGCTTGTGGACGAAGTTATTGTGTAGCCCACTGTGATCCCAGCGAGCTTCGTATATTGAACTAATCCACAAAGCACATGCATTGTTCCACCTATTATCAAATAGCAATATGGACTTGGTCATTTGATTCCATTAAAGTGAAGCATTTCAGAGAATAAAGTATGAAGTTATAATTATTGGTTAAAAATATAAATAAGTTTTGATAATTATTTTAATATATATCTTAAAAAGTGGATTCAAACATAACTCAATTCAACAAAATCCAACTTATAAAATGAAAATTACTCTTAAATTCTAAAATTCAACACTATTAAGTTTTATACATAAATAAAATAGTAAATAATACTTTTTATTCTCAATAATATACATTTACTTTACCATAGATTAATTATTCAATCAACAGGTATAATATTTTGTTCTCTAAAATACCTCTCCACAACTTCATTACAGAGCAGTGTTGCTCTGTATTCTTTGCTGTTATATATTTACACACTCAAACAGTATAAACACTTCACACTTAATACTTTTACTTTTTCTCTGTCTCCCCACCACAACACCAATTATATCATTACCAATTTACTTATCCTTCTTCTCTTCCTATATCTCTTTCTCAATATAGAACCACCCCAAGGCACCTAAAGTGCCCACCAATCTTTCACCATCAATTGATGATATGCAATTCTCACAAACAACACATAATCAGTGAAAATTAATACTTAGAAGGAGAAATTGGGCAGAGGAAGTAATTAAATCATGTAAGAGTGGAACTGATACCTAAGTAAGCCTTGACAGCCTGCATATAAGTGTAATTTCTGGTGCCAGTAACAGGGTGTGGATATCTGTAACAATCAGCTACAAGATTGTATGTGAAAATGGAAACACCTGCAAAGGCAAGGATACAGGCTACACCAGCAATCCACCCTAGTTGGGCCATGGCCCATGCCAGAGACAGCACCCCTGCCCCAACCACCACCGTTATAATGTGTATGCTAGCCGTTAATGCATTCCCTGCAAACCAAACTCAAACAACAACTCAAATGTCTGCTATATACTTATGACAAATAAGTTCAATATGTTTAGTCAACCAAACTTTGCAAATTATACATTTTGTCATTCAACTTTCAAATTTTCACGTGTTTTGATAACTTAGTGATCAACTGATCATTAATACAACACATTGACAGTTGATGTAATCCATTGATTACCAATGTAACACATTATACTATGTTGCATATGAGTGTTACATCAGAAACTCTCGTCATCAATTAACATGTTACATCAGCGATCCTCTAACATGGTGACAAAATATACAAAATTTTGAAAGTTGAGTTTCAAGATATACAACTTCAAAAATTAAGTGAGAAAAATTTCAAAAATCATTCACAACGTAGTATAAATGAGTTACAAATATTGAAATAATACATGCCTAACTTTAGATTCTCATAAATGATTATTTAATTAGTTAAACACACTCAGTTTTTATATACATTCAGTTTTGGTTATAAATGAGTTAATACGCATTCTTGAAAGTGGTAACTTGTTTTAATTTATGGAAGCACATGTGATGTTATAAAATCATAAAATTGATCTCTAAAAAAGTCAGATAAACTTACTCCCACAAAATAATCAACTCAAGAACAATTGCGTCCTTCAAAAATAATTTAGAGAATGAGGATAATTGTTTTCGAGAATGAAAACAGCACTTTTAGGGATGAAATTGTGTGTTAATTCAAAAGAATTGAAGATTAAGAAGAAAGGTTAATAATATCGATCTCTAATCAGGCATGAGGAGAAGTAAATACAAACTGTCTAATTTTAAATTCTCAAAAATATTAAATACTTCACTAGAACTCTGAAAAAAATTATGAAAATCGGAATAATATGTTTGGTATTATTATCCAACTAAAATACGAAGCAAACGTTGTACTGAACTACAGAGATAATGTTTTTATAACCCATAAAAGTTGGACATGAAAAATTTGGAGGAAAACAGAATATAAAGTGAGAACCCAATTCGGAGAAATTAAGAAAGAGAACGAACCGGTTCTTTTGACTCTGCCATCATCGTCTGGTTCGAGTGCCAAAAGAGACTTGGTGTTGTCCATTGAGATCCCCTTTCCGTTGGTCAAGTATCAACTCTCACAAAACGCTGCACCATTTGACTTCATGGGTCTGTTTGTGGAAGGAAATGATATCTTCTCTATATTAATTGAGGCAAATAATCAGGTAAAATAAAAATAAAAAAGATAAATAATTAATAGACCCAACGCTTCTTTACACACGGGAACTTATATCAGATCTAGAATGAAGCCTAGCCACAAAATCGTATTTATTTAATATTTCGTAAGATGAATTTATTGAAAAATTAATTATTATTATAAATAGCTGCTAATGATTAGATGAATGTAAAATATTTTTACGCGGCATGTATTATTTGTTCGGTTTATTTAAGATGAAATAAAAGTTTTAATTAGAAGAAAATAAGTATGTTTTCTTGACTTGGGAAGATCACAAATTTTCAATGAAGATTTATAGTAAATATAATTTTAAGAAGTAAATTCAAATCATGATTAATGTGAGTGGAAAATTTGACAGTGTCAATCTCTATTAGGGGCATCTATTATTTGTTCTTGGCCTAAAATACTAAATGGGTAAATAATTGAGAAACTACTATAAATAATTAATCAAACTACTACTAAACTACAATAATAAAATAATAACATTCAATAATTTCTTATTTAAGAGATTGACCTATTAGAAAGTTATAGAAAGTTATTTATGGTGACAACTAAAAATAAGGGAAAATTATCTATGCTAGGTGATGATTTACCTATTACGGAAAGCATATTATATGATGATAGTAATTTCACTCATCATAAAAAGTGTTTGTGAGGTTAACAATCTATCATAAAATATTTTGATTTTTATGACGAGCAAAGCATCACCCAACATAAAACTTCTTTTTATGTCGAGTAAAGTAACAATCGAGATAGAAAGGTTGTTAATGAGCTTAAGAGGTAAATATTGTTCATTTTCTTCCTTACACATGAAGAGAACGCTTCTCCTCTCCCCTGATTTGTTCTATTTGGTGACCACTAAACCTTCTCCCATGTTTTGTCCTTTTTAGGCAATGTAGACACCCAATTTCATCCGGACCCATAAAAACAATGAAATGGACGTTTATTATTAATGAAAGGAGCTCTCGAAACATGGAAACAACAGGACAAGACATCAGGAGGCCTAAAAGCCCAAACAAGCTTAGTAGCCTGGAATGGATTGTTGCAAAACCAGAACGGGCCGTTCCCAATTTGGAACGGGCTATTCCAAGTTCCTAAAAGGGCATAAAACCCTAGTTTGGAACGGGTCGTTCCTAAACTGGAGCGGGCTGTTCTAAGTTATGAAAAAGGCCTAAAAACCCTTGTTTGGAACGGCCGTTCCAGCCTAGCCAATTATGTGTTAATCTCATCTCTGGAACAGACCGTTCTAGTTTTAGAATGGGTCGTTCTAGTTACAAAATTAACACAGAATGGTAATGCCGAAAGCCCGTTTCGGGCCGGTGGCGACATGGAGTATATTATTTTTTGGATAGTTATTAGAAGAAGGTGTCAGAAGGAGCCTTGAAGGCTCAAATGTTGTATCCATCAAATAATATATTCCAAGAATTGGGTGCTTTATTAAAACAACTAAAGTAGGAGGAGTCCTACACAAAAGAGGCCTAAGTTACCTTAGGTACCACCAAGGAAGTAGCACAAGAAGTAAGACTAAGTGAAGTCCACTTCTTCTTCACTAAATCTTGAAGTTGAGATTCTTTTTTCTTTAAAAATAATTGATTTGTGAATCTCCACTTCAAGACTAGTGGCAGCATGAGGGAAAAAGTTAAGATCTTTATGAATAAAGAGAATATTCTTCATAGGATTTTTAGTAATAAAACAATTCTCTTTAATCACAAATCCCTTAGAGGATACATCTTCCTCTTTACTCTTCCCTAAACAAAATGTTTTCTTTTTTCTTTTTTCTTCCTTTCCCTTGATTTTCATTTGTGCTTGATCCTCAACCACATGTTGAGGTGAGAGAGGATAAAGCACAAATTTCTTTTCCTTATAAGTGAAGGTGATTTCATTAGTAAGACCATTGTGTATAGTTTTCTTTTCAAATTGTCATGGTCTTCCTAACAAAATATGACAAGCTTCCATTGGTACTATATCACATAAAACTTGGTCTCCATACTTCCCAATGGAAAACTTGACCTTCACTTGTTGGTTAACTAGTATGTCTCCATCCTTATTAAGCCATTGTAAATGATAAGGTTGAGGATGTGGCATAGTAATTAGACTCAACTTTTTAACCAACCTAGTGCTACAACAGTTGCACCATGAACCACTATCTACAATGAGAGAACATGCTTTATTTAAAACTTTACATCTAGTATGAAAAATGTTATCTCTTTGAGATAGAGTACCACTAGGTTGACTATTAAGGATTCTCCTAAGCATTAAGAGTTCTCCTTCATAAGGATAAACTGACTCCACATTAGATGTTTGGGGCCTTGTTTCATCCTCACTCTCAGTTGAAGAGGAGGTAGTAGTCTCTTCTTAACTACTATAAGTGTCATGCCCCCTTAAGATCATGACTTTATTTTTTGGGAATTGAGAAGCAATGTGGCCTCTCCCTAGACACTTGAAACATTTTATATCACTAGTCTTTGTGCTAATGTGTGGAGTGTTGGCACCTTTACCCTTATATATAGTCTTTTCTTTCTTTTTAGCTAATTCCTTGGAGGATTCTAAAATATTTTTCTTTTCAAAAGAATTTTCCTCCTCCATGTAGTCTTTCTTATGAGATCTGGAGTGGGAGATTTCTCTTTTAGAAGAAGATTTTCTCAATATTTGTTGTTCTACCCTTACACAAAGTTGGACCAAGTCCTTTAGGTCCCTGTAGGGTAGTAGCTCCACTTGGTCTCTAATCTGTAAGTTAAGACCACTTAGGAATCTAGCTACAATGCTGGCTTCCTCTTCTCTAATACATGCCCTCATCATGTATAGCTCCATTTGTTGCCTATATTGCTCAATAGTCATATCTTTTTGTTGGAGCCTTTGAAGCTTATTCATAAGCTCTCTTCCATAGTAGGAGGGAATGTGTCTCCTCCTCAATACACTCTTAAGATCATTCCAATATTAGATAGGAGGATCATTGTGGAGGCGCCTCTCTCTTCCCTAAGAGGTCCACCAATACATTGCATGCCCTTGAAAGCTAAGGGTTGCAAGTGACACCTTTCTATCTTCACTTACCCTATGGCAAGTAAAAAGTTGCTCTACCTTCATCATCAATCAAGGTAGGCTTCCACATCATCCTTTCCAAAATTTGAGGGAGATCCACCTTGGATTCCCTAGGGTTAATAGTTCTTCTAGGGGAAGGTTGATAATGGTCACCCACATTAAGGCTTTCATTAAGAGATGAGTATTGTGAGTGGGTGCTCCTACTCCTTCTCTTTTGTTTTCTCATTTCTTCTTTAAGCTTTTCTTCTTCTTGTTTAATAATTCTCATTTCCTCTTCTAGGATAGCAAGTTGGGCCTCTCTTTCAATTTTCTCTTTCTCTTTTTGAATGGCCTCTTGATTCCTCCAAAGTTTAAGTGATTTTAGCTCTTTAGTTAAGTAAGAAATGCTTTTTGGAGAGCTATCACTTCCACTATAGTCATAGTTTTGAGATACTTTTAAACAAAAAGTCTTTTCAAACAAAAATAGTTTTTAAAGAAAATAATTTTTTTTGAAGTGCTTAGACTTGACACTTAGAGGTCTAAAAGTACAAATTGAACTATGGAGGGAGGTGAGCTACAAATAGCCACTTAATAACCAAGTCTCTTCAAGTAAAAATCTCTAAACCCCCTTATACTTTGCCTTGCACAAAACAATTTTCACAAAGAACTTTTCAAAAAAAAAAATAACAAACAAGTTCCTAATGTGTACAATTATTCAAGGAAACTTAAAACATAAATGCTTGAAAACATAAATGGCTTGAAAACATAAATTGCATGAAAACATAAATTTCTTAAAAGATAAATTGCATGAAAACTTAAACTAGTCGTGTAAAACTTTAAACCTATGTGAGAGCTTAAAAAGCACCAATGGATTTCAAGGACCACTCTCACTAAGAATGCTAAACGAAAATACCCAAATGGAAACAACTAAGGAGAGATGGAAATGCACCAAAGGCACTCCAAGACACTCCTAAAGGCCTTGTACACTTGAAATGAAAATTTACAAGAAATGAAATGCAAATTCACAACTAATGAAATGTAGTGGCTGCACTAAAATTGAAAAAAAATTCAGCCATTAATTAGTGACAAATTTAGAGATGGATTTAGTGTTAGAAATTTTGGAAGCAAAAATTTCCGTCACTAAATTAGTCACTAACTTCTTTCTTTACAAAATTTTTCTTGAAAAATTCTTTGGTGTCCTTCAAAGTTTCTTCCAGTTACAGCAACCTCTCCAAGTGTGTCACTCCTCTCTTAGGAATAACCTTGATGTTGGTTATCCCTAGGTGTTTAGTCTCCCAAAGCTTTCCTTCAATGGAGAAGCAAGGTCTCCTAGGCCACCACAAACATTTCAACAAGCTACCTTTGTAACTTGGCCTTCTACACCTTCAAGAAGCACTCAACACACCTTACGTTGCTGGAGTTATATGGTAAAAACTGACATATAAAGGATAAAGAGACAACATGGATTGAGAACAAGAATTAGAGACACATAACCTCAAGAGCACCAAGGCTCTAGATACCAAAAATGATGGAAATACTTGAGGAGGTGATTGATGGTCCTCTCCAAGCTCCACCTTGAAATTCCCTTTCTTCTCTTGAGGTATTCAACACACCATTGATGAAGGATAAACAAGCTCAAAAGCTTGTAGAAGCAATTTAAGGAGGTTCAGTTTCTTCCTTGAAGAGGAAGAAACTTGTGAAACCAAAAAACAAAGGAGGAAATCCTTTCTTGAGAAGCTTAGGGGAGAAGCTTCTTCTCCACAAATTTATGACTCTTGAGAGAGAGAATTTTAGTGAAAATTCTGAATTCATATACTCAAAAGTGTCTTCAAGTGAGAGATTTAGGAATCTATAGAAGTAAGTGGCTTGTGGAGGAAGCTAAGCTTAACCATGGTTCAAGTGAACCATGGTAGGCTTAGCTTGACCGTCCACCTTAGTTTAGGAGGCTTGTGGAGCAAGATTCTATCTTAGGTTACTTGGAAAACAAGCTAAGT